CACGGTTGACTACGTGGGAGTCCAGCGACATAGCCATTACACTAACTGCTGGTTCCCTGGCTGTGTGACTTTAGACAAGCATCTTGACCTCTCTGAGCCTCAGTTTTCTCGGGAAACTGCATGAGCAGGACTGTTGGAAGATTCGGTAGTCGCTTTAGATAGACATGTGACGAGAGTGGCCGACATGTGTTGGGAGCCCACTGTGTGTCTGAGTTCCACCCAGGTTTCCTCTTTAAAGTTGCTGTGTGGAGGCCAGCAGGTGGCATAGTGGTTAAGGCACTGGACTTCTTCATGATCGATTGTGGTTCGAGTCCCAGACCAGGTGGCTTGAAAATCATTTCAGGGGACCAGCAGTTAGCGTAATGGCTATGTCGCTGGACTCCCACGTAGTCAATCGCAGTTCGAGTCCCAGATCCAGTGCCTTAAACTCACGCTGGGCATGTGTGCGTGCGTGCCCAAGATCCCAAGAGGAGAATGGAGGAGAAGGGATTGTGGCGTGGTCAGTCCCCCTGGGGTTTGATTTCTCATTTTCCCTCTCTCTGACTCTCTCTGTTTTCCAGTGTGTTTCTGGCGAGTATGTGCACATGATAGCAAAAAATCCCTCTCGGGACTAGTAGAGAGATTGGGATAATGGTTACATTGCTGGACTCCCATGTGGTTGACCACGGTTCAAGTCCTGAATCCAGCGTCTTGAAACTCATGTTAGGCTCATGTGCGTGGTTGACCAAAATCCCAAGAGGAGAATGGAGAAGGGATTGCAGCATGGTCATTCTCCCTGGGGGGTGGGGAGAATGATTGCTTGCTTTCTGTCTCTCTGTCTCTCTGTCTCACTCCAGTGAGCGCATGCACCCTATAGCAAAAATCTCTCTTAAAAAAAATTAAAAAGTTGAGGGACCAGTGGTCAGTGTCAGTGTAATGGCTATGTCGCTAAACTCCCATGTAGCTGACTGGGGTTTGAGGCCTGGACCCGGTGGCTTAAATTCACACCAGGCACGTATGCGTGCGTGCCCAAGATCCTGAGAGGAGAATGGAGGAGAAGGGATTGCGGCGTGGCCATCCCCCCTGGGGGGTGATTTCTCGCTTTCTGTCTCTCTGTCTCTCTCTGTCTGTCTGGCGAGCGCATGCGCCCTATAGCAAAAACCTCTCCCCCCCCCCAAAAAAAAAGGGGTCCTAGAAAGGAGACAAAATCAACTTCCTCCCTTTGTACTAGCCCACTCTGTCAGTGAAATGTATCTCTCCCTCGCTGGAGAGGTTTTTGCCAT